GCGCACATTCATCCATCCATCGAATGCTTTGCGGCAACCGATTTCACAATATGTACCCGAAAACGCGTGCACAGACCTTTAACATTTCTCCTACCCCTCCTCTCGGTACAATAGAGACATACAATTTAGGATCGGTGGATTCCTTAGGCCCCAGAATGATATTAATAAAGGAAATGTCAGTTTTTTTTGCTTTGGGGTGTGGGAGTGTTTTTGCCTGTCACAACTCGTCTCCGCATCGAATGAGTAGGCCTTCATAGACAAATGCTGCACTGAGACAAACCTGACACAAGGTCAGCGATATACCAAAATCAATGAAATAGTTTAAAGTCAAGTTTTCTTTTCTATCTTTGTTTTTATTTTGTCGAAACAGAATTTACAAAATGAAAAAAAAATAATCACGTCTTCAAAAAATTGAATAGAAAACTGAATTTTAACAAATAAATGGTTTTGAAAATTTTCTAAAATCCTCTTATTGTTTATATATATATATATATATATATATATATATATATATATATATATATATATATATATTGGTTGGATAGATGTGAGTTTGTGACACTGGGCTTCACGCTTTTATGATCGTCAGACAAACTGATTAATTTTTAAACCCAATTTTTAAAAAAATTAATCAGTTTGTCTGACGATCGCCAAAGGTGAAACTCAGGTCACAAACTCACATCTATCCAACCAAATATGTTAGCCTATCTCTGACATTGAGCGCTTTCTAATAAGTACCACGCATATAATAGATAAATAATTATACATATATATATTTATTTATATTTATATACATATATATATATATATATATATATATATATATATATATATATATATATATATATATATATATATATCACAGGTAATCAATCCGTTGGTATATAATCCGAGTGGATCCTAGTAATATGTAATATTAGTTATTAAAACTGATCCACAGAGAACTCAATGTATGTATTATAACATATTAGGGGCTGATGATAGCAGAACGGCTTGAAATGGACTATCTTCTATGTTGACGTAATTTTTGTTCTTTATTTTTACAGTAAATAATATATATATATATATATATATATATATATATATATATATATATATATATAGTTTATGCAAACTTAGGTAATCCGTATGGGTAGACCCGAGGTCTGTTTTTTATTCAAACAAATATATAAATATATATATATATATATATATATATATATATATATATATATATAATTGGTATATACGGAATGAATTCCAATAACCAACAATCACTATTCTTAAAAGAGTACTCAATACAAAGTAGAGCAGATATAATTATTATTTATAAAAAAATTATAACATAAGTATGTTATAAAATCACTACAAAAATAGCCATTTTGTTTCAACGCCCTCGGTGTCTTATCAAGTGATGATGTTGAAGATAAAATAAATGGTTTTAAAAGTTTCAGATTAATGATCCTACACTAGGGGGAAACATTGTTACAAAAGCTAGAATAACCAATCAAAAACCAAGTATAGAAAGATTCAAAAGCTTGACAACGAAATCATGTTATAATAGCTATTCAGGTCTTTAAAATACGGGTAATATTAAAAATAATTTATACTAACCAATAATTATAAATTATATGATAAAAATTAAATATTAAAATTAAAAACTGCCAATTTTAAAATCCAAATTTAATCACTATTAAGTTTAAAAACTACAAAATTATTGAGAAAAGAAAAAAAATACATATGTTATTCAATTTATTTCTTCGCTGAAATTACGTTCGACAAGACGCTACAATATATCCGGTCATTTGACAATACATGTATATATATTTTTTATTCTAAAGTCTGTGAATGTGGTCTTAAACTCACGCGCAAAAACAAAAAACACAATCAGATTATAATACATAAGCACCCAGACATATTTAGATATATATATACACACACACACACACAAAAAAAAAAAAAAAAAAAAAAAAAACGCGACTAAACAGGAACAACTCTACAGCCCTTATGAAAAAAGGAAACGGGGAAACCAACACCTATACACACACACAATTAAATGTGAATGCACCATTTATTTTATCTTCAACATCATCACTTGATAAGACACCGAGGGTGTTGAAACAAAATGGCTATTTATATATATATATTGAATAATAATTTAGACGTATTATGTCTGTTTATTTTAGTTTTAATCCTTTCAAGTCCATGAATCAATTTCTTGGTGGCCGTAGAAAATTGATTACGAATTAAGAAAAATTCCAAAATTTTCTTTCAAATAATTTTTATTTTCCCAAGTACTTTCAATCTCATCTGAAAACATCTTCAGGGGTTGCATATCTATGGATGTGTTAATCGTTAACCTCCGTAAATTTGAAATATTTCTGCATCTATGCAAGGGAGGTAACTTATGTGAGTTTTGTCAAAGATGTTTTTTAATGTTTAAAAGATATTTATTTTTAATTCTTTTATTTTAACTTAGTATTTTTATATAAAACTTTTCTGCCACAAACATTTAAGAACTTTGTTGCTATACTCGTAGCTGATTTTATTTTTGGTCGCAATTCACTTATATAAAAATACTAAATTAAAAAATATATAAAAATACTAAAATATATTAAAATACTAAACAATAAAATACTAAAAATATAAAATAAAATACTAAAAATAAAATACTAAAAATAAAATACTAAAAAATAAAATACTAATAAAAATAAAAATAAAAATAAAAATACTAATAAAAATAAAATACTAAAAATAAAATACTAAAAAATAAAAATAAAATACTAAATAATAAAATACTAAACAATATTAAAAAATATATAAAAATACTAAATTATATAAAAATACTAAATTAAAATACTACAATTAAAAAAAGAAAAAAATCTTGAATTTTTTTTAATGGATGTATCGAATCACTTACTACGGCAGCACCTTCCTCATCTCACTAAAGACATTAGGTCAGTGTAATACCATGACAGTAGACGCAGGGTTCTGGGCAAAAAAACACATATGCATAAGTATGTATATGGTTGTTGTAGAGTAGTTTTCACAGTGCAGGCTTATATTTCAATAAGTCGTCCTAAATTAGGTTCGACGTACAAAACGTTAGGAACTTGAAATAGGAGTTAATGACGCAGCAATCTAGTTGTGATGGTTGATACTCCAATGTCCGACATCGACTGACTCACTCAACACCACTGAGCCCAACTGGCAACCGCAACGACTACTACTACTTATTATGTGTGGGAGAGTCTATTAATAATAGAATAGGTACGTCGATGGACATAAGAACAAGACTTATCCAAACAGATAACAGAAAGTTTTATAAGATCAGCGTTCCGTTTAAACATGGTCACGTTGTCGTCACGTGGGCAACGCTGTGAAAACGTATTCCTAAAATTTGAGTATTTTGAATGAAATGTCCATCGTCTTTGTCATGTTGAATTGATAATGTTAATTATATTTTATGAATATGTCCTGATGATAGTTTATTAGACCAAAACGTCCGATGTTGACATTATATTAATATTAAAACAGCATAATTGCATATAAGGATTTTTGTTTGTTTTTTTCGGTATATTTTTCTTCATATATATATATATATATATATATATATATATGAGAGAGAGTGTAATTTGGTCAACACCGAGTAGTGACAGCTTGTTTCATGGCTGAATTCAATCTTCAACACTCACTGGACACAGTGAGAGCAATAAATAAGAATATTGCGAGATATTTCTAGGGACCAGTTTGAACGTCTAGAGACATAGACTCGATGATATCTCTAGGGTTCAGTTTGAACGTCTAGAGACATAGACTCGATGATATCTCTAGGGTTCAGTTTGAGCGTCGAGGGACATAGACTCGATGATATCTCTAGGGTTCAGTTTGAACGTCTAGAGACATAGACTCGATGATATCTCTAGGGTTCAGTTTGAACGTCGAGGGACAGAGACTCGATGATATCTCTAGGGTTCAGTTTGAACGTCTAGAGACATAGACTCGATGATATCTCTAGGGTTCAGTTTGAACGTCGAGGGACAGAGACTCGATGATATCTCTAGGGTTCAGTTTGAACGTCTAGAGACATAGACTCGATGATATCTCTAGGGTTCAGTTTGAACGTCTAGAGACATAGACTCGATGATATCTCTAGGGTTCAGTTTGAACGTCGAGGGACATAGGCTCGATGATATCTCTAGGGTTCAGTTTGAACGTCTAGAGACATAGACTCGATGATATCTCTAGGGTTCAGTTTGAACGTCTAGAGACATAGACTCGATGATATCTCTAGGGTTCAGTTTGAACGTCTAGGGACATAGACTCGATGATATCACTAGGGTTCAGTTTCAATATCTAGGAACACGGACTCGCAGTTATCTCTAGGGTTCAGTTCGAATGGCTAGGGATATATATCTCGAGGGACCAGTTCGAATGCCTAGGGTCATAGACTTGAATAAATCTCTTGGGTTCAGTTTTAATGTCGGTGAGTGGCATAAGAACATGACGTGATATCCCTGGAATGACAGCAGTCTACTGACGCGGATGATATAAAGAGTTCAGCTCGAAATTCTATGAATGTTACCCAGATACAAGTAAGACCATGGTTTATCAAGGGCGCACATTTGTCATCCCTACAATCGTACCTCTTCTCTTTTAGTCTCTGTGAGTATTATATATATATATATATATATATATATATATATATATATATATATATATATACACACACACACACACAGGGTGTCCATAAAGTTCGTGTGCACTTTATCGTTATAAATTTTTAAAGTGCACACGAACTTTATGGACACATATATATATATATATATATATATATATATATATATATATATATATATATATATATATATATATATATATATATATATATAGGTATAAAAATTGCAGGTATGCAGAAAATAGAAAAGAACACGTTGGGTGCATAATCCGGATTTCCTTAGTATTTTTGTTTTTATTTTTAAGAAGACAGTGCTCCATACAGAAGTAGGGCTTATATAATA